CTGCTAGCAGTCCATCCCTGAAAATTGTCAGCCAGTAGACAGAAAGTAGCAAGGAGACCCCACCAGCTTTTCAAAGCAAATGCTTTATTTGAATCTAGTTGAAAGATTGAGCCTCACGTTATAATCAGGATATATGATCTCTGAATTGCTTACAGAGAGGCGTGTGTACAGCTGAGAATGGCAGCAGAGACTGCAAGAAGCAAGTGAAGTTCCCCATTCAAATGGGGGAGATGAAGTCCACTTTGACACTAAATACAGCTCAAGTGAAACCTTTAGACTACAGCATCCAGTAGGAAGACAGGTGACATCTTGCGTTACACTCTGACTTGATAATGTCTTAATGTCCTTTCTGGAGCAATCTGTAGTCTTACGTGGCAGGTCTCACTAGCTAGTCTCCCATCACTGAACTGGGGGATGCCTCAGGACACCTAGTTAAGTTGCTTGATTTTTTTTTTAATGATTTCTTCACTTGTGACACATCTGCTGTTGTCCAACCTAAGTCTTCATCATGATTTTCACTTCTAAAACCCAGTACTTGCAGCACGACTGCTATAATCTGTCTACTTCCAGATGTTGAAGCAGTTGGTGGAAATAACCAAGTAGTCCTTTCACTTAAGTAGAGTTCTAAAGTCTGATTATTCCTATTCAGAAAGTTGAATGTTCTTGTTGCCAGAAGAATGACAATGTTGTTGTTTTACTAATTCTATTAAAGGGCTTTTTTTCTGCTTTAAGGCATGTTGCTGCTACTTCAAAGCATTAAGAATGGCATTAACAAACTTTGCTCCTAACCATTGCTACTTTGTATGACCACTTCCTGTGGATAGCACCCATTTGGGACTTTGTATGAATATTATATAGCAGTGGATTTTCTTCAGGCTTTTACAGTTGTGCACAGTATTTTAAATAGGCTTTGTTTATAGTAAACTTGTGAAACAGCAGTGTAGAACTAGTTTGTTATTGTTCTGGTAACTGTTGTTAGAGCCTGTGCATTAGAATTAAATTGCCTGAAATTACTGTTTGCCCCACTCTTCTCATAGTCCATTCTATATGTTAACCAAAATGCTGACAGGTAAGTTGGCATTATGTGATTAATGTGTCATTGTATATGGTGGTCGAGTGATATTTATGAAGTGCATAAACTTGAAATGTAAATGTAAATTTCACCTATTAAAGTGAGTAGCATAGTGCTTTTCAGTTTTTCTCATAGCAAACATACTTAGAGGTTGAACATTTGGTAGTGACCCACCTGATAGATAAAGCATGCCTAGATTCAGAGATGCCTGACAAAGGATTTTCTGCCACTTATGCTTGAATTTGACTTTGTTGCAAGTATTGGTTATGTAAAATACAAACTGTAGTTTATGAACTTTCAAATCCTTTCAAAAACTTTAAGTCCTTTGCTGTCTTACCAGGCTTGTGAGATGCAGTTCTGTGTGTCTGGGATTTTTTTTGTTTTTTTTTGTTTTGTTTTGTTTTGATTTTGTTGTTTTGGTTTTTCTTTTAGTTTTGTTGAAGCAGAATTGATGTCAAACTGTTTTTTCTCATTCATTCAGATCAATTTGTCAGTTTGGCTTGTCTACTTAAGATTTCTTTTTACCAATCATTTAGTTGTTCTTTTATTCTACACCACATTGTCTAATATTCCAACCATAAAATCTGGTAGAAAGTGCAGAAAAGGCCTAAAACAGTGTTGTGACATAGCCACAAGAACTATTGAGGAGAAGCTGCAAAACTGATATATTGAGCATGTAACTTCAGAAGTATTGCTCACTTCTGTAAATAAGCAGAGTATTCCCTGTGAAGGTGGCAAATGCTTTTTTTTTTCTTATTGGCATGAGTAATAACTTGCAAAAAAAAAAGAATTTGTATTCATTCCTTTCTTTAGGACTGTGTATAGGTCTGAATTATGGAATAAATAGCTGATGTGCACAGATAGTCTCTTGTTTGTGTTGAGGTTGAGTAGGACATAATTTTTGAAGATCTAGGACAGGCTAAACTGATGTTCATAATACCAAAACATGTAATATTTGAGCACCAGGAGAGCTAACCTGGAGAGCTGTCAAGAGTTTTTTCAGACTGTAGTGTCATTAAGCACCAACTGAAAAAAACAGATGAGGTAAGAACCATATGGAGCCATAAATAATACTCATTTAAATGTGAAGTTTAACTTGTAGACAGGTACAGGTTTATCTTCTTCCATCACCTTATCAAGGACTCAGACATGATATGCTTTGTTACTAGACTTGGAAAAAAGTATGTGCTCTGTGTGAGAATACTGTCTTGACTAATGGAGTTTTGTGTAGAAGAGGCAGAGATGCTGAAGTCCAGAGCTGTTTCTTGTTAGTGTTCAGTTTAAACCTTGCTTCAGGCACTACAAATTAGCCATCACAGTTACTAAATTAAGTTCCTCCTTTTAGGTATTGCAAATACTGGCTAAATTGGTTTACGTGCATCTAACTTCTACTTTGTCTTGAAAGCAGAAAGTTTGGACATTGAGGAAGGGGAGGAAAGCTGCACAGAAGGAGAACTTAACACTGGTCAGGTGTCTGTACTTGAGTAAAATTTGTGTGCTGTTGCTCTGCTGCTCTTACTCCATCTGAAATCCACAGTCAGGTTCTCTTTGGTTTCTACAGCTGCAGTGGTACTAGCATAAGTTTTGACTGAAGTCCTGTACATCAGGAAAACTCTTGGGAAAAACTGAGCTTCCAGGTTTTTGTAACCCAGTTGGCACTTCCCCACCAGTTGAGAAATACCACCAGCTGTCAGATGTACTTTGCAATAACTGGAGTTTCTGATGGGTTATTTGAAATTGCTGCTTCTACCTCATTTTGTGAAATGCTTGTCTGGGTTTTCTAAAACTCTGCTATCTGCATATGAGCTGGCAAACCTCTTAAACAAGAATCTTCCCTTAACACAAGCTGGAATACTGAAGAGCAGTCCCTTGAGCATCTCTTTCCAGAAATCAGGTTCAACTTCCAATTATTTATATTTCTTACTGGGAGCCAAAATTCATCTTTCTTAGGAGCTTCTGTGAAGAGATTTTTGACTCTGAATTTTTGATAATGTATTACTGAATCACTAATCTTTAGGCAGACTGTCAGTCTCTGGAAAGTTCTGCCGTAACCATTGCAAATATAAGGCCTTTGGAATGTCAGATCTGAACACCTTTGAATTTCGGATGGTAGTCCAAATGAAACAAAGCAAATCATTCACAAAACACTGAGAGCAGAAGGGACTTACAGAGATAATCTAGTCAACTCCTCTTCCTCAAGCAGGTTTTCCCTGAGCAGGTTGCCCAGGACCACATCCAGTCAGAATCCAGGAGCAGAGACTTTACAAACTCCATGGGTGGCCTGCCTTAGTGTTCCACCAGCTTACAGTGAAAGCTTTTTTTTTTTAATTTCAAAATTGCAGAATAAACCTATAGAAACCAGTTCAAGCTTGTCCTGAACAAATTACTGGATTTTGTGCAACTTCATAGCCTAGGCTGCTATTATTAATCAGCTTTAAAAACTAGAATGTCTCATGAAGAACCTGCCATGAATGGTGTCCTTCGTAGTAGCTGGTATGTTTTTTGCGTGTAGTGTTCTGAGTGGTTTCAGTGTACAAAACAGACAGTGTGAACAGAGGGTAGTAGAAATGATCTCTGCACATCTTTTTCTGTTCACTCTGGAATTTGTGGGTAGTGTATTTGAAACATCTTAAATGAACTAGTTTTCTTTTTGAGATTTTGATATTTTTTTAAGGTTGTGGTTTAAATAGATTCATTCGTAGGAGATTACTGATGCCAGAGATCAGCATTTCTGTGTTCGGAGGTAAGACTAAAAGCTGTGCACAAAAAGACACTCCTTTATCTTGCTCCTTTTTGGAGACACTGCTGGAAGAGTTTCTGCAGACAGTGGGAGTGATGGAGATAAACAGGTACAGAAATTACTGTACTGTAATCAAACTAATAAGGAAAAAGGCACTTCTAAAATAAGGAACTTAGCTATATCTAGCTAGAGCTGTAAAAGGATACAGAAATGCTTTTGCATATTTCCATATTGTTTGTTATAGAAACACAAAATTGCTGAGGTCAGAGGCACTTCTGAGATCATGTAGACCAAATCTGCTCAGAGTAGGGTGGTCTAGAGCATGTTGCTCAGAACTTCCTCTATGGGTGGATGGTTTCATTAATAGCTTCCAAATATTGACATGTTTTTTGCTTCATCTAGCCAATTCATTTGTGTTCATGTGTCCTCTTTTGAGGAGGAGTTTGGGGGATAGCTTTGGAGGCTGTGGTGGTGGTGTCCTCTTGTGGTTGTACAAAGTTATGAGTGTCAGTAGTGATGGGCTTTTTACTAAACAAAAATGTTTTGTTTGTCTGTCGTCTGAATTACCAATACTAAAAGAACCTGAAAAGGTTTCATCTTCGGCTGATATTTTGCTCATGACCAGCTACTTGTACCAGTTGTTTTGAATATAGGAACACAATGGGTAATTTCTCATTGCTGAGAGGATCTGTTTAGTTTGTGAATAACATCTGCAGAAATTCAGCTTCAAATTTTGCTGAAATTATGTTACTATGGTGTATTTGAAGCGCACTTGGTTTTAAGCACTGGTCCAGAATTTTGCTGTTACACTATGTTCAATTAAAGTTCCAAATTAAGTAGTGGATTTTTTATGCTATCTTACCCTTGAAGCTCCTGAACTGCCTCTTAACAGATCACAATAAACTCCTGAACCTTCTTTGCATAGCAATTTTTAAGTCTTTCATTAAACTGCCTTAGCCATTTCTGTGTTGAACATAGGGTGGTCCATGGTAACAAAGGAAGCTAGTTAAAAAATCACTAACCTTGCTGGAAAAATTCAGTGTTGTGAGCCTTTGACACTCTATCTGGGGCAGATGCTGTCTTTAATATAAACAATATATGGTGAGTGTGTCTGTATGTGTGTTAAACACTGTTATTTGTTTCATAGCATTTGCAGTACTAATGATCATTTTTCTTCTCTTTAATCAGGACAGAGCTTGGGTTATGGTTTTGTGAACTATGTGGAACCAAAGGATGCAGAAAAAGCTATCAATACTCTGAATGGATTGAGACTTCAAACTAAAACCATAAAAGTACGTAGTGTTAACTATGATTTAAGGGAACTGAAATGCTTTGACTTATTGTTGATAAGATACATGATTTGTTTTCCCATTCTAAGTGTGACTTAATCATTCTGCTAATGTCAGTGAAATAGACTGAGATGTTATGTAGCAGATGGTTAGTCCTTTGTAGTCTATTCAGGTTTAGTTAGATTATGATTTGTAGAAAATGTCTTTTAATGCAGTTAACATTTTAGGTGTGAGCTTGGAATTGTTTTAACTGAGGAATTGTGTTGTATTGGTCAGTTACAGAAATGCAATGTTGTATATAGTCTGAAAACTGCACTATGTGCTTTCTGCTTTAATAAGTGTATAACTTACTAATAATTCATTTTCTAGGTTGCTAGTGTCTTTTTTTTTCTCTTACAAATCCTTAAAATGAAATGCTAAAACAAGTCCTTTAGCAATATAAATTATTGGACTTCTAGGGCTCATGTTTGGGACCCCTGTTTTTTTGTTTTGTTTTTTTGTTTGTAGCTGCTGCACTTCTTGCTTACTGAATTCAGTTTCTAGAATTTCTAAAAGCAGACATCTTGAGTTACTTGTTCTCATCTACTGTCCTGATCCATTATCAAAAGAGTGAGGATAATCACTTGAGCAATTGTTTGAGCTCTGAAAGCTTGAGAAAGAGGAGATGAGATGAAATAAAATGTATCAGGTGATGCAGAGTTTTGAACATGTACAGCAGATGTATGTGCCTGAAGGCCATCAGTATTCAACCAAACTATCTTTTGTCATTAGATATCAGGGTTTGCTAGCTGATTGCTTGGATTGTGGCTGCCCTCCAACTAGGATCATGTTTGAGCCATAAGATAAAGCTCACCTCTAAAAAGGTTTAAACTTAAAAAGCAGTGTAGAGCCCCTTCAAAATGACTGAGACAAAAATAAGACAGCAGTAGTAGTTATGGTAGAGTGGCCTACCAGTTTGGGATTCATGAGTTTTAATGAAGTGGATTACATTATTTGAAACTCGGATACTGCTGTTGAGCAAATGATGAGTCATGACGGACAATAACAATGAATGAAATACATGGATAAATGCCTTGCTGCAGAAAGCTCCCTCTGTGCTTTTGGCAGACTTCTTGCCCCCAGGCAATCTCTCCCATTTTCTGCTCTGGGGGAAAATTGAGGAAAACCATTTCCTATTCCAGATTCTTTGAATTTGTCTTTTGGGTGGTGGTGAGAAAGGGAATGGGTTTGTGTTGCAGTAGTATTGCAAGTGCATGGTATCTTTGCATTTAGTGTCTTGATTTGGACAAATGAAAAAAGTATCTGTCCAGAGTAGAAATTTGGAAGTTCTAGTAACTATATATAGCCAGGTAAAAATGGATGTTATAGAGAATCAAAATCAAGCCAGGTCTCCCAAACAGAAATGATCTGTAAGCAGGTTTCCAGTGACTTGACTTTGTTGCTGGTATATGAATTCTTAATCCTTGTTCACTTTGCTAAATAATTAATACAGTGACTGCATTTCTGCAACTAAAAATCACTTGTAAAGAAAATTTAAAAAAAAGTCGGGGGTGGGGGAGAAGTGAAAATAGAGTATATATATGTGGGTGGTGATAATGATGCTCTTCCTTTCCTGCCTTCCCAGGACATGAAAATAGAATTGTAGGTTGTGAACACCACCAGAGACCCTTGTAATGAGATTAAAGTTTGTGTAATTTTTCAGGGTTTTGTGCCTGAAATGTCCTTAGCTAAAGAAAATCCAGAATAATTCAGTTGTCACAAGCTAAAATGAGGACCTCTTCAACAAAATAAAGGCTTTGTTTAGTTAAAAAACATATAAAGGGAAATATATATATAAAAAATACATATTTTATATATATATATAATAAAATATATAAAGGGAAATATAGCCCCCATTTTCAAGAAGGGGAAAATGGGTGAACCAGGGAATTACAGACCAGTCAGTCTCACCTCTGTGCCTGGCAAAATCTTGGAGTAGATTCTCCTGGAAGGCATGCTAAGGCGCATGAAAAACAGCAGGGTGTTTGGTGACAGCCAGCATGGCTTAACTAAGGGGAAATCCTGCCTGACCAATTTGGTGGCCTTCTATAATGGGGCTACAGAACTGATGGACAGGGGTAGAGCAGTTGATGTCATAATGCTAGACTTGTGTAAAGTGTTCAACACTGTCCCACATGACATCCTTGTCTCTAAATTGGAGAGACATCAATTTGATGGATGGACCACTCGGTGGATAAAGAACTGGCTGGATGGCCGCACACAAAGAGTTGTGGTCAATGGCTCAATGTCTGTCTGGAGACCAGTAACGTGTGGTGTCCCTCAGGGATCGGTGTTGGGACCAGTCTTATTCACCATCTTTGTCAGTGACATGGACAGTGGGATTGAGTGCACCCTCAGCAAGTTTGCCGATGACACCAAGCTGTGTGGTTTAGTTTATACGCTGGAGGGAAGCAGTGCCATCCAGAGGGACCTTGACACGCTTGTGGGGTGGGCTGATGCCAACCTCATGAAGGTTAACCATGCCAAGTGCAAGGTCCTACACCTGGGTCGGAGCAATCCCAGGCACAACTACAGGTTGGGCAGGGAAGAGATTCAGAGCAGCCCTGTGGAGAAGGACTTGGGGGTCTTGGTTGATGAGAAAATGAACATGAGCTGGCAGTGTGCGCTTGCAGCCCAGAAAGGCAACTGTATCCTGGGCTGCATCAAAAGGAGCGTGGCCAGCAGGTCGAAGGAGGTGATCCTGCCCCTCTACTTTGCTCTTGTGAGCCCTCACCTGGAGTATTGTGTGCATTTCTGGTGTCCTCAACATAAAAAGGACATGGAACTGTTGGAACAAGTCCAGTGAAGGGCCAGGAGGATGATCAGGGGACTGGAGCACCTCCCATATGAAGATAGGCTGAGGAAGTTGGGTCTGTTCAGCCTGGAGAAGAGAAGGCTGCGTGGAGACCTCATAGCAGCCTTCCAGTATCTGAAGGGGGCCTATAGGGATGCTAGGGAGGGACTCTTCATTAGGGATTGTAGTGACAGGACTAGGGGTAACAGGTTCGAACTGAAACAGGGGAAGTTTAGATTGGATATAAGGAGGAAATTCTTTCCTGTTAGTGTGGTGAGGCACTGGAATAGGTTGCCCAAGGGAGGTTGTGAGTGCTCCATCCCTAGCGGTGTTCAAGAACAGATTGGTCGAAGCCTTGGGTGAGATAGTTTAGTGTGAGGTGTCCCTGCCCATGGCAGGGGGGTTGGAACTAGATGATCTTAAGGTCCTTTCCAACCCTAACTATTCTATGATCTGTAAGTATTGCTGGTTCATGTTACAGGTAAATCTCGGTGTCTAGCTACCTACATTCACCACAGTTAACTCCAGCAGAAGCTTTCAGTGTTAGTGTACGTGATTTGAGGGGCAGAGCTGCTTTACTCTTTTCTCTTTTACTCTTCCTTTCTGGGGACAAGTTGGGTTTCAGGTTGAGTTTTCATAACTTTTTAAAGAGGCTGATTTTACTTCCACACTGCAGAAGGGGCAGAGACTAGGTGGATTCCTAATGTTTTGAGACTGAGGCATTCATTGTACATTGTGCAGTTGCTTCTGCTGTTAAAAGGAGGAAGATGTCTGTGTGGCAGTGACTTGAAAGGCAACTAGCCAAGAGTGTGTCTTCCATTACCTGAATCAACAGAAATCCTGAGCCTACTGTGAGGCACTTATAATTTGCATATTTCTCAGGTGAGCTAAGGGCAATACTGAGTAGAGTTTAGAGTTAAAGATGGTGGCTGAGGCCTTCACAGGCTCTGGGGGAAACATCTGGGTGAAAGAAGTCACCAGATCTCAGTACCAGGACCTTTGCAGAAACTACTTACCGTTTATGCACCACAGTATTCCTACTTCTTTGGAGATGATACTTTAATTAAAGTTTGATAAGACTCTGAATCTAATCCATAGATCTACTTCCAACTTTAAAAAATAGATGTCATTGAGATTTTTATATATCCCTTCATATGAAAAGTGGTGGAATACTTGCAATGTTAGTGGGTATTTTGATTTCAAAAGATGTTTGTTCTCGCTGTACATTTTGGAGACTCCTGTAGAAATGCTTGTTTCCCATTAGTGTATAACACTGGAAAGAACTTTGTTGGTTAGGTGGTGGACCCTTATATTGTGGGTGACTTGAAAGCATTCCCACATGGAAGGAGTTGTCCTCGTCCTGTTGTGTGTGACAGTCTATACTGGGGTCACACCATACCTCTGATCTCTTGTTTCTGTACTAGCTTGTTAGTCATTGAATATATATTCTTCCTGTGAAAAGCAGTATACCTACACATAGAATAAGGTGCCCTCTGAGCACAATTTATGGGTTTTTTTGCAATGTAAACAGCCGTATTTATGTTGCAAGCAGCCTGTGAAGTTTGGGCTTAATTATTCAACCTAAATGTGAAAACAAGTTGTACCTTAGAGAAGGTAAATGTTTGTCTTCTCTTTTCGAAGAAGCTTTTGCTGAGAAGCACTTTGGCTCTCTTGTATTTAAAAGCCAGTGAAAATTTCTGTCTAGAGTGATTAGTTTGCTTAGCCGCTTGCTTGCCCATGACTTTTCAAGTTGTCCTTGAAAGATCAGCTCTTACCAAATAGAGAAATCTGATAGAAGCAAACAGCATATAAGAGCCACTTACTTGCACATAGTGACAAGAAAATTCAGTGCATTGTTTTTGTTGGCCTGGCTTCTGCTTGGAAGAGCAGAAATCCTCAGTGGCTGCCCTACCCTTGCTCTAGGGAAAACTTACAGTAAGTTCACCTGTATCTTTTTAAGATTATCTGAATAGGAGAATTTTCACTGTGACTACTACAGTCGCGGAGCACTTTGCTGCAAAATTTAATATCACTAAAAGGTGAAAGAGTGGTTTTGGATTACCTTCAGAATGAGGGACTGAGAATTACATGAGCCATATGCAACTCATTCACCAATTTTTCCCCTTGGCAAAGTAAAAAGTAAGACTAAGATAACTTCTTACTATAGCAT